GATATTTATAAAACTCGACTATCCTCAAGTTTTATGCATTTTGTTGGCGTTACGGAGCAACTTTGCAAAGTTACACGCCAAAGGCTTAAGAAATTTCTTGAGCGTAGGTCAAAATGGGCCAAACTTAAATGTCAACAAGCTGAAATAGCTAAGAAATCGTACGAGAACATCGATGAAGGATCTGTCAATTCATACATGGAGAAGAACCCTGACACCATTAACTTAGAATGGAACCATCATATGAAATGCTGGAAGAGATTTTGTGATGAAGAGAAGATCTGTAGATAACAGAGAAAAGAAGAAAAAGGAGAAGGAACTAGCTGTAAAACTGTAACTTCTACCGAAGAATCACACGAGGAAGTGGAGGCAATAGAACCAAGGCGAAAAATTACACGTCAATCAGTCGCAGAAGCTATAAATATAAAGGCCCTGCCTAAAAGAAACGCGCATGTACTCCCAAAGATATGTATTATTTGTGTAAAAAAAAGGCCTCGTGGTTCTCACTAGACAAGGTATGGTCATTTTGATAGGTATAATACTAGCGCAATGCGCACAACATTCTCAGGTTTGGTTTTAAAATATATTGAATTTTGATCAATTACGTTTATTTAGGGTAAAGTAGTTTCTATGCTACAAACATCCAACCTTGTTATTAGTAGATATTTAGTTTAATAATTTATTTTGTTTCACACCAGGCAACTAAGAAGAGAAGAAGAACCTCACTCATGTTGGCAGAAACAATTATGCTGGTCTTCTTCGTACAGCTGCCGAGAGAAAGATTGGTCAACGGATACTTGTGCAAATCCATGGGAAAGACTGTGTAGCTCTGGAAATCCGCTATCACAAAGTTTGCTACTGCAATTATACAATATTTCTCACCAGAGAGACGAAGAAGCAACAAGAGCATCAGTGTACGAGAAGTCTTATGATGTATTCTATAAAAAAGTAATTGAGATGGAGGTCATCGGAAATAAGCAAATAAAGTATATGAAAGATTTGCTGGAGAAATTTGTTATCATTGCTAAGGACACTGAGAATGTGGATGCATCTAAATATAGAGCTTTTAAACTCAAGCAATGACTGATGAAAAGTTATCCCCAACTTGTGTTCTGTGTACTGAAAATGAGAAATGTTAGTGAGATTGTATATGTGGAAAATTTGGATTCTTCTGAATTGGTTGAGGAACATATGTCAATTAAGGGCCTGTTTATATGGAAGTTGGGCTGGCCCGCTTAGCGAGACAGCCCGGTAAGTGGGATGAATTTCTCTTGTGTTTATATGAGAAACTTTCATCCCGCTTGCCGGGACAATTTTGTTACATTGTATTGTTTTGACAGTTGTTAAAAATAGCTTGCGGCGGTATCTTTGAACTTTCATCCCGGCAACCAGGATAGCCCGCTTGTGAATGTTTATATGGAGAAATTTCCATCCCGGTAAGCGAGATCTAGCCTCTTTCAAACGAGATCTCGGCAACCGGGCCAGCCCGCTTGTCCATATAAACGCACGATAATTTTTACTATAAAAATAACTACACAGCGAGATCTTGCTTACCAGGCTGTCTCGCTTATCAGGCCGGCTTCCATATAAACAGGCCCTAAGTCTGAAAACAATGATGAGGACTTTGATGAAGAGAGCTGTACCATTGATTATGATGATGTGAATTCCAACACAGAAACTGAGGGAAATTCTAAAGTCAATGAGTTACAAATTCTATACAATGCTGCATTGATTCTTCACCAAAAGGTGCAAGAAATACCAAAACTGAATCTTCCTTGGCCACCATTGGCATCTGATTTGACAAGGGATAATATTTCAAATCCGACTATGAGGTCGGGACTAGACTAGATTTCAAGTCCACACAATTTGATTACATCCGAGGAGAAGCAGAGGACTGGATCAAAATGTGAGGACTTGAAATCTAGTCCAGTCCGAATTGGAGGATTTGAAATGACATCCATACGAATAAATCACTACTTAATTAATTTTGATCCAGTTCAAGGACTGAATTAATTTTAATCCAGTCCTACAGTAGGACACTACAGGATCAATATACTTCATAAGGTATCTAGTATTATCATGTGAGCAAAATAAAGCAATATGGTTGGCTAATTTACTCATGAATTATTAATGATTTGAGGCGAACAATGGTGGTAAGTCGCATATAATGGGTATTATCAGTGGAGTAGATCAGTATTTATTTACTTATTCGATATTCTCAACCGGATCCACAGTATTTATATTATCAACACATATATCCCTCTCATGGACAGGGTAACAGTATGGTCATGTCTGGGAAGCTAAAACGCACCCTGGTGGAGGAGCTGAAACGCACAGCAGCAAATGTATAAGAAAAAGTCAACTAGTGTGGACACGAAAAACCAGGCTGAATCGTTCCTTGTTATTCTAGATAGTGGCTAAATACCAACTTATGTCACAATATAAAAATAATACATGTAATAGTTCAAATACGAGAAGTAGAACTTTACCAGACAAAAGCCAGGACAGCTTATTGTAGAATACATGCAATCTCGTTTTGAGCATGCAAGCCCTTGGCCAGGATCCAATAAGTGGGATTTTATTGCTCTGATGAAAATCTGGGTTCAAAGATGAAAACATTTCTTTCAATTATAGATAGCTATAATGAAATTATGGATTTTATATTTCCTCCCAATTTATCTTTTTTATGATGAATTTCAAGTTTATATAAATATCCCTTAAAGCCCGGGATGAACTGGGAAACACTGTTTGTCATATTATTTGTCTTTCCAATCTCTCGGTATGTCATATTGTCTTATTAGCGTCGGCAAACGGATAAAGAGTGTTTCATAAAATGCTTCTGAATTTGGTAGGAAATAATTTGCTTTCTGGGAAGCAAATTTTGCGTCTGCAATAAAAGCCAATTAAAAATCACGAATATTTCCGCGACATTATTTCTTACGTTTGGCCAAGGCTTTAAGTTTAGCGAAATATTTCATTTGTTCCTTGATCGTGTGAATTGTATGTATATATACTTTTTATTCTTCGTCCTGTTTGATATAGGATGTTAATATAAAGTAGAATTAAACGTTAAAACGGTATTTTGAAACAATAGCCAATGAATTGAAGTGATTTAGCATATGAGCAAGCAAAATATACTATGTGTTTTTAACAATATTTAATGTGGGTGTATTTATATTACAAGGTTTATCAGTATTGGTCAGTATTCCGTGATTTTATTTTGTTGTTTTTTGTGGAGGAAATCGGGGAAACCCCCCAGTGAGAGTCTATTTTTATAATCTGCGCGTGCGCAGTGCGAGTTTGGCTGAGTTGCGCATGCGTATTTGCTACCAAAATAATGGCGGTTCGAGTATTTCGAAGCGCGAAAATATCAAACTTTGGAGGGATTTTTCTCCCAATTGTGCAACTGTTTCGCTTGGGGAGCAACAGATTCTGGTAAAGTAAGTTTTTATCTATTTATTCATGCGAAAATTACGTAGTTACACGAGGGGTGCAACGGAATTGCATCTTTTAGATGCTCATCCTACGGCCTATGGTAATTACCACGAGGATTTGGGACCAGTGGCGTCATTCTGGCGTCAGCAGACGTGAAAATCCGCCATGTTTTTGGCTTCACTTGATGATGCCGAGCACTTCCTCCAGATATATTATAGCTCAGTGCTTCCCGCCCAAATTATCCGCCATCTTTGTTTTTAAGGAGCCCGGGTTCCG